TATACATGTACACTTGCCCCCACGAAGGATGTAACCTTCAATGTAAGTACATAGGTATGACGTCGACCAAGCTGACGAGGCGTTTGACATGCCATCTTCAATCTGGTGCCCCTAGGAATCACATGAGACAAGCCCATGACATTACTCTAACAAGAGAAATGTTGAACAAGAATACTTGCATAATAGACAAAACCCAAGATTCAAGAAGATTACAAATTCTTGAGGCAATTCACATAAGAATAGAGCGACCTACCATGAACACCCAAATCACGGAACTATTACTCTACCCACCATGAGAGTAAGGACAAGACAAGAACATATCGATGCCAACACAGAAGACAATGTCCAACATAACAGGCCAATTACACTGGATTAATCTTTGTGTTTAGATAGGAGATGCCTCGTATGGGCCAATAAGCCTTCTGCAGCCCCTATGTTTATCCCTTATGTATCCCCCATGTTTTTCACCTTCATTGTATTATCACCTGACCTAATGCGGGTATAAAATCAACTAGTATTGTAAGATCTGTTCACTTGAGAATGAACCATGGAGGTTCGAAACGTCGTGCAAATTATACAAATAAGTGTAACACACTCTATAGTAAATCACTTCTTTTCTTCACCTTAAAAGTACGAAAATGAGTTTGGAGAAATCCTATTCCAATTAAGCCCTGATGCTAAGAAAATAGTTAGAGGGATAGAAGCCCTAAACCAGAAAATAATAAATACAGAATATGCGGTCATATTCAATGAAATATATATATATATATATATATATATATATATATATATATATATATATATATATATATATATATATATATAGACATATGTCGTACCTAGTAGCCAGAACGCACTTCTCAGCCTACTATGCAAGGCCCGATTTGCCTAATAAGCCAAGTTTTCCTGAATTAATATATTTTCTCTAATTTTTTTCTTATGAAATGATAAAGCTACCCATTTCATTATGTATGAGGTCAATTTTTTTATTGTAGTTAAAATTAACGTAGATATATGACCAAACCTAACCAACCCAACCTAACCTAACCTAACCTATCTTTATAGGTTAGGTTTGGTTAGGTAGCCGAAAAAGTAAGGTTAGGTTAGGTTAGGTAGGTTAGGTAGTCGAAAAACAATTAATTCATGAAAACTTGGCTTATTAGGCAAATCGGGCCTTGCATAGTAGGCTGAGAAGTGCGTTCTGGCTACTAGGTACGACATATATATATATGTCGTACCTAGTACGACATATATATATGTCGTACCTAGTAGCCAGAACGCACTTCTCAGCCTACTATGCAAGGCCCGATTTGCCTAATAAGCCAAGTTTTCATGAATTAATTGTTTTTCGACTACCTAACCTACCTAACCTAACCTAACCTTACTTTTCGGCTACCTAACCAAACCTAACCTATAAAGATAGGTTAGGTTAGGTTAGGTTGGGTTGGTTAGGTTTGGTCATATATCTACGTTAATTTTAACTCCAATAAAAAAAAATTGACCTCATACATAATGAAATGGGTAGCTTTATCATTTCATAAGAAAAAAATTAGAAAAAATTTATTAATTCAGGAAAACTTGTCTTATTAGGCAAATCGGGCCATGCATAGTAGGCCAAAAAGTGAGTTCTGGCTACTAGGTACGACATATATATATATATATATATATATATATATATATATATATATATATATATATATATATATATATATATATATATATATATATATATATATATATACTCATCTAATTGTGTTTGCGGGGGTTGAGCTCTGGCTCTTTGGTCCCGCCTCTCAACTGTCAATCAACTGGTGTACAGGTACCTGAGCCTACTGGGCTCTATCATATCTACATTATAAACTGTGTATGGAGTCAGCCTCCACCACATCACTGCCTAATGCAGTCCATTTACTAACTACTCTGACACTGAAAAAGATTTTTCTAATATCTCTGTGGCTCATCCGGGAACTAAGTTTCCACCTGTGTCCCTATGTGTGTGTGTGTGTGTGTGTGTGTGTCTGTGTGTGTGTGAACGGCCACAAACCCTTACAATCTAAGAGGTCAATCCACAAGTTGGAGAAACAATCAGAAGTGAAGAGATTAGTGACCTTAAAGAGATTAGTGACCTGAAAGAGAATTTATTATTTTCTGGTTTAGGGCTTCTATCCCTCTAACTATTTTCTTAGCATCAGGGCTTAATTGGAATAGGAGTTCTCCAAAACTCATTTTCGTACTTTTAAGGTGAAGAAAAGAAGTGATTTACTATAGAGTGTATTACACTTATTTGTATAATTTGCACGACGTTTCGAACCTCCATGGTTCATTCTCAAGTGAACAGATCTTACAATACTAGTTGATTTTATACCCGCATTAGGTCAGGTGATAATACAATGAAGGTTAAAAACATGGGGGGATACATAAGGGATAAACATAGGGGCTGCAGAAGGCTTATTGGCCCATACGAGGCATCTCCTATCTAAACACAAAGATTAATCCAGTGTAATTGGCCAGTTATGTTGGACATTGTCTTCTGTGTTGGCATCGATATGTTCTTGTCTTGTCCTTACTCTCATGGTGGGTAGAGTAAATAGTTCCGTGATTTGGGTGTTCATGGTAGGTCGCTCTATTCTTATGTGAATTGCCTCAAGAATTTGTAATCTTCTTGAATCTTGGGTTTTGTCTATTATGCAAGTATTCTTGTTCAACATTTCTCTTGTTAGAGTAATGTCATGGGCTTGTCTCATGTGATTCCTAGGGGCACCAGATTGAAGATGGCATGTCAAACGCCTCGTCAGCTTGGTCGACGTCATACCTATGTACTTACATTGAAGGTTACATCCTTCGTGGGGGCAAGTGTACATGTATACAACGCTTGACTGCTGTAGAGGGTTCTCCGTCGGCTTCGGGCTGTTTTTGATAAGGAGTTCGGAAGTCTTCTTGGTTTTGTAGAATATTATCAGGTTTATGTTTTGGTTAGGAGTAGTGCTTTTTACTCCTTTACGGATTATTTCTTTCATTATTCTTTCCTCTTTTATATGTTCACTGTGCATGGTTGATTTGTAATATAATTTTATTGGGGGTGTTGTGGTTTCTGTTCTAGGTTCTGAATTATACCAACGGTCCAAGTGTCTTCTTATAGCAGCGTTTATTTCCGCGTTGCTATATCCGTTGTTCACCAATACCTGAGTTACTCTTTCAAACTCTCTACTCACGTTGCTCCATTCAGAGCAGTGGGTAAGCGCTCGACGAATACAAGCATTGAGAACACTGGCTTTGTATCTTTGGGGGCACTCACTTCTACCGTTCAGGCATAATCCTATGTTGGTGGGCTTGGTATATACGTTTCATTTTCACCTTCATTGTATTATCACCTGACCTAATGCGGGTATAAAATCAACTAGTATTGTAAGATCTGTTCACTTGAGAATGAACCATGGAGGTTCGAAACGTCGTGCAAATTATACAAATAAGTGTAATACACTCTATAGTAAATCACTTCTTTTCTTCACCTTAAAAGTACGAAAATGAGTTTTGGAGAACTCCTATTCCAATTAAGCCCTGATGCTAAGAAAATAGTTAGAGGGATAGAAGCCCTAAACCAGAAAATAATAAATACAGAATATGCGGTCATATTCAATGAAATATATATATATATATATATATATATATATATATATATATATATATATATATATATATATATATATATATATATATATATATATAGACATATGTCGTACCTAATAGCCAGAACGCACTTCTCAGCCTACTATGCAAGGCCCCATTTGCCTAATAAGCCAAGTTTTCCTGAATTAATATATTTTCTCTAATTTTTTTCTTATGAAATGATAAAGCTACCCATTTCATTATGTATGAGGTCAATTTTTTTTATTGTAGTTAAAATTAACGTAGATATATGACCGAACCTAACCAACCCTACCTAACCTAACCTAACCTATCTTTATAGGTTAGGTTAGGTTTGGTAGCAGAAAAAGTTAGGTTAAGTTAGGTTAGGTAGGTTAGGTAGTCGAAAAAACAATTAATTCATGAAAACTTGGCTTATTAGGCAAATCGGGCCTTGCATAGTAGGCTGAGAAGTGCGTTCTGGCTACTAGGTACGACATATATATATATATATATATATATATATATATATATATATATATATATATATATATATATATATATATATATATATATATATATATATATACTCATCTAATTGTGTTTGCGGGGGTTGAGCTCTGGCTCTTTGGTCCCGCCTCTCAACTGTCAATCAACTGGTGTACAGGTACCTGAGCCTACTGGGCTCTATCATATCTACATTATAAACTGTGTATGGAGTCAGCCTCCACCACATCACTGCCTAATGCAGTCCATTTACTAACTACTCTGACACTGAAAAAGATTTTTCTAATATCTCTGTGGCTCATCCGGGAACTAAGTTTCCACCTGTGTCCCCTATGTGTGTGTGTGTGTGTGTGTGTGTGTCTGTGTGTGTGTGAACGGCCACAAACCCTTACAATCTAAGAGGTCAATCCACAAGTTGGAGAAACAATCAGAAGTGAAGAGATTAGTGACCTTAAAGAGATTAGTGACCTGAAAGAGATTAGTGACCTTTAAGAGATTAGTGACCTGAAAGCTCCGACAAGAGTCAATATCTACACCCATTAACCCTCCCCCCCCTTGAATTATGCGAACCGTTGCCAGGACGGGATAAACCTTTATCTTATCAACGTTAGCAGATAACGCTAATCTAATGAGGATAAACACTGTCGAAAATAATCCAAAGTTCCAAGAATGCTATTGAGGAACTCAGAGGGAAAAGAACATTTTGTAGTCGACTCTAAAACCCATTGATGATCGTGATTGTACGATGCTGTAAGCTTCGGAAGATGTGAATCGGCTGTAAGAATGTTTGGAGCTGGTGTAAGAATGGGTGAACCTTCTTTAAGAATGGGTGAATCTGTTGAAAAAGACTGGGTGGTCTAGCTATAAAAATGGTTGGACCAGTTGTAAGAATATTGGAACCCACTGTAAGAATGTTTTGATAAGCTGAAAGAATGGTTGAATCAACTGCACGAATGGGTGAACCAGCTGTTGCAATAGTGGTTCTATAACTGTAAAAACAGCTAAGCCAGCTATACGAATAGGTGAACCAGCTGTTGCAATAGTGGTTCTATCACTGAAAAACAGCTAAGCCAGCTATACGAATAGGTGAACCAGCTGTTGCAATAGTGGTTCTATCACTGTAAAAACAGCTAAGCCAGCTATACGAATAGGTGAACCAACTGTTGCAATAGTTGTTCTATAACTGTAAACACAGCAAAGCCAGCTATAGGAATGGGTGAAGCAGCTGTTGCAATAGTGGTTCTATAACTGTAAAAACAGCTAAGCCAGCTATACGAATAGGTGAACCAGCTGTTGCAATAGTGGTTCTATAAGTGTAAACACAGCTAAGCCAGCTATACGAATGGGTGAACCAGCTGGTGCAATAGTGGTTCTATCACTGTAAACACAGCAAAGCCAGCTATAGGAATGGGTGAAGCAGCTGTTGCAATAGTGGTTCTATCACTGTAAAAACAGCTAAGCCAGCTATAGGAATGGGTGAACCAGCTGTTGCAATAGTGGTTCTATCACTGTAAAAGCAGCTAAGCCAGCTATACGAATGGGTGAACTAGCATTAAAAATAGTGGTTTCACCTGGCACAAAAGTCCCCAGTGGCTGTTATGGAATTCAACTCGAGTGGAAAGTAATGAAGATTGGTGCACTGGTCTAAAAGTTCTCACAACGGGTCTTAACCGGCAGACGATTTAGGTCTCCTGGAGACGGCCACGCTGACCTTCTGTACACACACACACACACACACACAGACCTGTGTGTGTGTGTGTGTGTGTGTGCGTAGCAGCAAGGTACACACAAGGTAGGCAGTGCTGTTAATACTCTAAGGTAAGCACAAGGAAGGAGAGATTACTTTAGAAACCTCTCTTAAGGGAGCCTCTTCCAGCGAAGCTCTGTAAAGTCTTAACAAACTCACGTTACCCAGAGTTAAGGAACATCAGGTCATGAAGAGTGGTGTTGAAGAGAGACTGAAGGAACTAAACCTTACGACGCTAGGAAGGAGAAGAGAGACATGATTCAGACATAAAATTCTTAAGTGGGGATTGACAGTTCGTAGATGAATAATTTACAATGAATCCCATAGATCAGAGGAGCACATAATGAAGATTGAGACTCAGATGTGTCACAGAGATATTAGAAAGTTTCCTTGTAGCGTAAAGGTAGTTAGTATATGGAATGCCCTAAAGGAGGAGGGCTGTAGAGGCAAACTCCATTCATATGTGTACTTATCAACACACACACTAACAGAACACACTGATATCAACACACACTAACACACTGATATCAACACACACTAACATAACACACTGATATCAACACACTCACTAACAACAAAACATAATGTTCCTACATGACATAATATGAACTCTACCAATCTTTCAAAACAACTAAGGGGGTTTTTGGTACAATTAACAGACCGTAATAATGTCATTTTCTGACCATCGGTCAGGATGCGTTACCTAACTTTCTAGAATTCCAACGATTTACTAAGGTAAAACATTTACATTTTTTTACGAAATGGCCAATTGGACTGCATGAACAACTACTTAATAACCACTTGATCTCAGGAAAATATCTGAACAACGACACAGTGGAACAATTAACTCTTAACAAGCACACGTGTGTGTGTCAAGGTCGACAATGACACTCGCAAATAAAGTAATATACTTTGTTCAAATTAGACTTGTAGGAAGAGGGTGTTCACTTTCAAGCACAACTTCGACTGTGTTTGTTCAAGCTGCTGTGTTGACAGCCTCTTGGAACACTGTGTTTGTTCAAGCTGCTTGTGTTGACAGCCTCTTGGAACACTGTGTTTGTTCAAGCTGCTTGTGTTGACAGCCTCTTGGAACACTGTGTTTGTTCAAGCTGCTGTGTTGACAGCCTCTTGGAACACTGTGTTTGTTCAAGCTGCTTGTGTTGTGAGGCTCTTGGAATACTGTGTTTGTTCAAGCTGCTTGTGTTGACAGCCTCTTGGAACACTGTGTTTGTTCAAGCTGCTTGTGTTGACAGCCTCTTGGAACACTGTGTTTGTTCAAGCTGCTTGTGTTGACCGCTGTTGGAACACTGTGTTCCATCTATTTGTGTTGACAGCCTCGGGGAATATTAAATGATACGAGTGGACATAACAGGAAGTTGGAAACTCAGATCTGTTGTGGAATTGTTGATTCAATTCGATTCAGATTCGACTCAGACCCTCCCAGGACGGGGAGTCAACCAGTCAAAGGCCAGGAAAGAAAAGGCCAGGAAAGAAAAGGCCAGGCAAGAAAAGGTCAGGAAAGAAAAGGCCAGGAAAGAAAAGGTCAGGAAAGAAAAGGCCAGGAAAGAAAAGGCCAGGAAAGAAAAGGCCAGGAAAGAAAAGGCCAGGAAAGAAAAGGTCAGGAAAGAAAAGGCCAGGAAATAAAAGGCCAGGAGAGAAAAGGCCAGGAGAGAAAAGGTCAGGAAAGAAAAGGCCTGGAGAGAAAAGGCCAGGAAAGAAAAGGCCAGGAAAGAAAAGGCCAGGAAAGAAAAGGCCAGGAAAGAAAAGGCCAGGAAATAAAAGGCCAGGAAAGAAAAGGCCAGGAAAGAAAAGGCCAGGAAAGAAAAGGCCAGGGAAGAAAAGGCCAGGGAAGAAAAGGCCAGGAAAGAAAAGGCCAGGAAAGAAAAGGCCAGGAAAGAAAAGGCCAGGAAAGAAAAGGCCAGGAAAGAAAAGGCCAGGAAAGAAAAGGCCAGGAAAGAAAAGGCCAGGAAAGAAAAGGCCAGGAAAGAAAAGACCAGGAAAGAAAAGGCCAGGAAAGAAAAGGCCAGGGAAGGCCAGAAAAGAAAAGGCCAGGAAAGAAAAGGCCAGGAAAGAAAAGGCCAGAAAAGAAAAGGCCAGGAAAGAAAAGGCCAGGAAAGAAAAGGCCAGGAAAGAAAAGGCCAGGGAAGAAAAGGCCAGGAAAGAAGTAGTTGGGTGAGCCACCTCCTTCCTCAATTGATAGTCACATTCGACAAAGAATTTGAAGGTCTGAATAGTTAAATTATACAGCTCATCCTCCTGTTTTTTAATAGTACTAATAGTAACGATCAGGTCCATAGTATATATACCGACTTACAACGAAATTAGAACGTAGAAATCTGAACTATTGACTTGAACAAACCGGAAAACTACATTTAACTTGCGTTGCTCTGACAAACACGCTAACCAATCCTAGCATCCCCTAGACCTAACACACGATATCCGAGGCCTAATATAGTACATGTGTGTACTATACTAGGCCTAAATATATATGTTTATGTTTTAACTTGATTTATTGTAAAAGAATACCTTACTAGTCTAAACAGGATGACGGGTTGCATTATTACTCAACAAGTGCAACACGGCTAGCAAGAAGCCATATTATTGCGAGTCGCTGCTTTTCATAGTTATCTGTAATGTGTAAAGTTCATAATAGACAAAATGTGAGGCATTAATTGAGAGGACGAGGGCTCCACCCACACAGTATTGGGTAAATAAAGAGTCGACAATGGCCAAACCCCAGGAATGTCTATCTGATTAGCTTATATCTATATATATATATATATATATATATATATATATATATATATATATATATATATATATATATATATATATATATATATATATATATATAAAAACAGTGTCAGACCACGGAGGAAAATTGAAACAGGAATTTCCTTAAGTACTTTCGTATATTAATACATCTTCAGATGGAGTATTAATATACGATTAATATATATTAATATACCTTCTGAAGATGTATTAATATACGAAAGTACTTAAGGAAATTCCTGTTTCAATTTTCCTCCGTGGTCTGACACTGTCACATTTTTAATCACGTGTTTATTTTCGTGATACACACACACACACACACAGATATATATATATATATATATATATATATATATATATATATATATATATATATATATATATATATATATATATATATATATATATACATATGTTGGTGCTGAAAATAGACTTGTTCATCACGGGAAGAGCGCGATGGAGTGTAAAAACATTGATGGTTAATTCAATTACATTGTATTGTTTGCTAATGGTGAATTGGCCAACTAACTGCCTTGTTTGTTTTCATCATGTTAAAAAATTGCTGTTAAAACAATGTCTATTTTTTCCTCTATCAGCGTCAAATATATATATGAATATATATTTATATAATATATATATATATATATATATATATATATATATATATATATATATATATATATATATATATATATATATATGTCGTACCTAGTAGCCAGAACTCACTTCTCAGCCTACTATTCAGGGCCCGATTTGCCTAATAAGCCAAGTTTTCCTGAAATAATATATTTACTATAATTTTTTTCTTATGAAATGATAAAGCAACCCTTTTCTCTATGTATGAGGTCAATTTTTTTTATTTGAGTTAAAATTAACGTAGATATATGACCGAACCTAACCATCCCTACCTAACCTAACCTAACCTATATTTATAGGTAAGGTTAGGTTAGGTAGCCAAAAAAAGCTAGGTTAGGTTAGGTTAGGTAGGTTAGGTAGACGAAAAAACATTAATTCATGAAAACTTGGGTTATTAGGCAAATCGGGCCTTGAATAGTAGGCTGAGAAGTGCGTTCTGGCTATTAGGTACGACATATATATATATATATATATATATATTTCTAGTTCGATATATGTTTATATATTTTTTGTTTATATAGTTCAACACAATCCACTCTACGGAATCTGAATTCAGGTTTCAATCGGATCATTTACAACTGTTGTGGTCATTGGATATCATCTTCGTGCGTCAGCATAAATACATTAATACAGCGAAGGTAATCTTTGCTATACACGAACCCATGAATAACTTAGCAATTTGCAAACATTCGCGGAGTTGGTGGTACATTCTCCCGTTTTCTGTCAGCGGGACACAAATATACTGTGTGTGTGTGTGTATATATAATATATATATATATATATTTTATTAAATATGACCGAAAAAGTAAGATTAATAATTCTAACACGAATTTTCTCAATCTTTCGTACATTATGCTTCACTGTTGGAGGTAAATCAAAAATCACTTCTCCAAAATTCATTTTTATTTCTAGTCTGACGCGACACGGGCGCGTTTCGTAAAACTTATTACATTTTCAAAGACTTCACAAATACACAACTGATTAGAACTTGCGTTTCCCTGATTTTATATCTACATTTGAGTGAGGTGGGAAGGGTGATGTGGCATTACATTTGAGTAAGGTGGGAAGGATGATGTGGCATTAGAGGATATTAATAGGGTATTAAAAGTATCAACACAAGACAGAACACGAAACAATGGATATTGAATAGAAGTGTTTGTAGAAAGCCTATTGGTCCATATTTCTTGATGCTTCTATATTGGAGCGGAGTCTTGAGGTGGGTAGAATATAGTTGTGCAATAATTGGCTGTTGATTGCTGGTGTTGACTTCTTGATGTGTAGTGCCTCGCAAACGTCGAGCCGCCTGCTATCGCTAGCCGCCTGCTATCGAGGCACTACACATCAAGAAGTCAACACCAGCAATCAACAGCCAATTATTGCACAACTATATTCTACCCACCTCAAGACTCCGCTCCAATATAGAAGCATCAAGAAATATGGACCAATAGGCTTTCTACAAACACTTCTATTCAATATCCATTGTTTCGTGTTCTGTCTTGTGTTGATACTTTTAATACCCTATTAATATCCTCTAATGCCACATCATCCTTCCCACCTTACTCAAATGTAATGCCACATCACCCTTCCCACCTCACTCAAATGTAGATATAAAATCAGGGAAACGCAAGTTCTAATCAGTTGTGTATTTGTGAAGTCTTTGAAAATGTAATAAGTTTTACGAAACGCGCCCGTGTCGCGTCAGACTAGAAATAAAAATGAATTTTGGAGAAGTGATTTTTGATTTACCTCCAACAGTGAAGCATAATGTACGAAAGATTGAGAAAATTCGTGTTAGAATTATTAATCTTACTTTTTCGGTCATATTTAATAAAATATGTCTACAGGAAAGACTGCTACCAAAATATACTAATATATATATATATATATATATATATATATATATATATATATATATATATATATATATATATATATATCTATCTGCATCTTTATCTCTGTTTCTCTATCTCTATCTGCATCGTTATCTCTGTTTCTCTAGCTCTATATGCATCTTTATCTCTGTTTCTCTATCTTTTAATCTCTGCAATGTTATTATCCACAGTAATGTAGTTGTCAATTTACCTGACGTGGGTGTAATTATTTACTGCAGTGCCTAATCACTTCCACCTCTTGCACTACCTTATGACGCATCTCAAACTGTCTCTAATGGACTAATTAGCTCATTAACCTTTCTCCCCTCATTACATATATCTCACAAGACAATTAACATGTGACGATGCAATATTTTCAGAATTATTATTATTGCAATCAAGGAGTCACTCGACTTCTCTCACACAGACATGAGTATGGTAGAAGACATTAGGTTGCAGACAAGCCCATTAGAGGCAGATGTCTTGCAAGAAATATGGTAGAAGACATTAGGTTGCAGACAAGCCCATTAGAGGCAGCTGTCTTGCAAGAAATATGGTAGAAGACATTAGGTTGCAGACAAGCCCATTAGAGACAGCTGTCTTGCAAGAAATATGGTAGAAGACATTAGGTTGCAGACAAGCCCATTAGAGACAGCTGTCTTGCAAGAAATATGGTAGAAGACATTAGGTTGCAGACAAGCCCATTAGAGACAGCTGTCTTGCAAGAAATATGGTAGAAGACATTAGGTTGCAGACAAGCCCATTAGAGACAGCTGTCTTGCAAGAAATATGGTAGAAGACATTAGGTTGCAGACAAGCCCATTAGAGACAGCTGTCTTGCAAGAAATATGGTAGAAGACATTAGGTTGCAGACAAGCCCATTAGAGACAGCTGTCTTGCAAGAAATATCAAAGGAAATTTAACTTAGATAAACACACATATTGTGTGTTTATCTATTCTTGAAAGAATTTAACTTAGATAAACACACATATGAGATACGTCTTGGGTTAAACATTCCTTTGCAAAGGTGTTGTGATCAACATTATTTAACATGGTTAATAAGTTAACATCCTTGGAAGGAATGTTTTTGCAAGATATAATCCTTGGATAATTAACATAGGGAAGGAAAGGAAACTATGAGGGAAAAGTGCCAAGCCATTACGGCTATATAGCACTGGGAAGGGGTCAGGATAAGGATTTGGGATGGGAAAGAGGGAAAGGAATGGTGCCCAACCACTTGTGGTGGACAGTCGGGGGATTGAACTCCGACCTGCATGAAGCGAGATGGAAAGAAACACGGGTTCACTGGAAAGCGATCCCGTGCCACTAGGTAATGGAGAACCAGGCGAAGACAGATCCAAACTGAACATGTTTGGCACTTGTCTCAATCTTCAGCTATCTCCTCAAGCCCTCTCATTCTAATGGATTTCCAGATCAACTCTTTCAACTTCAAATCGGTCCCTTCAGATCATCTCCTTCAATGCCTCTAACTTCAATTGGCTTCTTTAACCCGTGTGCAAACATCTGCCTTGTAAGATGTTGATATTTTCATCAAGTTCCAGCATTATATCTCACCAGTCTCTCTCCTCCACCTTCACGTCTTGGTGAGGGAGGTAAGAGGGGATGGGGGGGGGGTGTCTAGGGTGAGGGGGGGTGAGGGGGGTGAGGGGAAGGGAGGGGGGGTTGGAGAAGGGGCACCGGAGATTGAGGAGGAAGGGATCTTCACGGGTGTTTGTTTAAGATGAATATACCCTAGATGCAGCCTCCTTCACCATGTTGACGAAGGAGATTGGGCACAGAGCGGCGCCACTGGAGTCATTCCCTAAGGCTCAACCAAGTAGGTTCATCGCACATTTCCAGAACACCTGTTGGGTGAACTAATATTGAACTTCCAAAT